CGCTCGTCGACACTGGAGCAGACTACTCAGTCTTGAGTGGGAGGCTCTCCCGCCGCCTTCGGAAAGTCACGACGCCGTGGGATGGACCTCAGATACGAACCGCCGGAGGGCACCTCATCACACCGGTCGGGAGATGCACTGCTCGCGTCTAGATCCACGGTGAGACGTGCCCTGTCAAGTTCGTCGTTCTGCAAGACTGTTCGAGGGACATTATCCTCGGAATGGACTTTCTCTGCGAGTATGGCGCCGTCATCGACCTCGGAGCAAACCGGCTGACGCTTCGAAAACCTCCTCCACCACAGGAGGACCCCAAAATGACGTCATCCGCGGTACGAGTCCTCGCAAACCACGTGAACCTACCGCCGCAGTCAAGTGTTTTCGTACCCGTCGGGGTCGATGAGACTTTCTGTGGCGACGTTTTGCTCGAAGGAAGCCTCCAGTTGCTTTTAGGAAGAGGGATCGGCATCGCAAGCTATCGCATGCTATCGTCTACACATGAGGTGCTGTGTAAACTTAACACGCTACACCGTGTCTGCCTTCCGCAAAACCGTTTCGAGCGTGTTCCTTATGAAACATGGCGGCCAGCGGCCGAGAACAGGCGAGCGACGAGCCCAGCGAGCCGCGCGCCTTTCAGCCGAATTGAAAGCACACAGGGCGCGTTAGTTCTCGTTCGATGTTTTTTATACACAGTAAAGTCTCCAAGCGGCGGACGTCGCTTCTTGCAAAGGTACGTACGTGCGTTGTCGGCGGTCGGCGGTGTCGGTAAAAACCGCCAAACAACAAAAAAAAAAAAAACGAATGCCGAATTTACATGGCTAAATAACTTCAGCAAACTATTTAGAATCGGGCGGTAACTTGCGCCACCTATCGAGATTTCTAGCGGCCTGTTTTTAAAAAAAGACGAGTCTGTTTGCACTGCGAACGACCACGACCACACAGCAACCCTACATACAACGCAGGCAACACAGCGCACAGCTACACAGCACCGACATGTACACAAACAACAACCGACACTACGCCCGACACTTCCTACTCGATATCCATTTCTCCCCGCGGCGCATATAAGCTTGACATGTGAGGGTAAGCTCTTTGGTCGCTGACCATTACAGATTTATAGAAGAATACACAAAACACGGCGCAATGGACAGCCGTGTGTTAGAACTGTTTGCATTTAAAAAGTATGGAGGCAAAATCTATAATGTTAGTCCGTTGCAATAAATAACGATATGTTAACAATAAATCTCAAACCGGTTATGAAAAAGTTCAAATTTTTGTTATTTTCTTGCTTGACCAGTGTTATGAGCAGTCCGACTAGCTTGAATCAGATAGGAAAACAAATTATTGGGATTTTGTCATTACGTATACAATAATAAATGAAAATGATCCTTGCGCAAAGCATTTTTTTATATATTTTTGTGAACGACATCCGGACATCCCCCAACACTTCACTTCCGCTAGTTGCAGCAGTTGCAGTACGGGAGCAGACGCCTTCACTTTTGGGGCGTTTTGATGCAGCTTGTTGTCGTATGTCGTGTCGGTGTCGAGAAGAGCGGTGGGGCTTCGGAGTTTGTGACCGGTGTTATTCGTGAACACTGGTGTGGGGCGCTGATGCGTCTTTTTTTTATACTGCCACCACCCCGAACTTTGAAGATACACGGGCCCGTAGCAGTGCATTACGCTGAATCGCGAGCTCCTTCCCTGTTGACGTCGCTTTCCTGGTACCACTTGTTGATACTGCAAGCGTTTAAACAGTGTGCACCGTCTCGCCTACATCCCCGGTGACGTACTCGACCTGTTGAAACTTATTGCTTCCGTCATTTTAGAGTACGCAAGGCAGTTATCTTGTTGGTCTGGTTTCGGTTATAAAAGCAAGGCAAAACGCTCGTAGTTCCCGCCCTCAGTACACGTTGGACATCTTCCACACTTTGACACCGGATAACTGAATGAACGAGGATTTACATTCACTTCCGAGGTTACTCTCGCCGCTTCCTCACCGTTGAGCAGCAGGATGAGCTGGCGACAAGCCGCGGATGAAAGGCTGGAGCATCAACAGCCCAAGCGCACTCGGTGCCGATGCGGGCGACGCGGGTTTCTGTCAACCGGGAGGCCAGCAGAAACCGTGACCGTTCCAGCTCTTCGTCATGACACGATGTTGCAGAGAGCAGGGTAAAATACAGCTACACGGATCACCGAAGCAAACGACTGCTATCTTAAATCTTGGCTTGTGATTGCGCCTTTGTAGTAGATAATCTTATTCGTTTTGCTGGAGAGACGCAAACGACGGGCATAACAAAATCGCTTGCATATTCCGCATATCTCACAAAAGCATTTACCCTGTCACCTTGCGAAAAGCGCGAAACACGGAGTCCGCACCGTCCTAAGCTTCCAGTTTTTTACCTGCTTTAGAGCAGTTTGTACCTGCTAGTATATATGCCTACTGAAATTGAAACAGGGCAGTGCCAGAGAGAAAGAGACAAAGTTGAGAAAGCTTTGCAATTTCTCAACTCTCAAGTGATTGTACCATAATAAATACACCAACGCGTCTTCCAAAATAAAAAAAGAGCACTACGTTCACAACATAAAGAATGGTCTCAGTACATGCATCTGTGGGCAGGTAGGAAACCTTGCCCTAATTTATTCACGCCGCATGATTGGCGCAACAAACTCGTTGCAGGACCGAATCATCTACTCGAGCGGTGTGCGTCGCTATGCAAATGCAGTCCAACACGAAGCATAAAAAACGGCAGATTTAAGACAACAATCCGGAGTCATTATTCAATTAAAACAACGTAATTTTGTTGAAAACGCCCGCTGCTTCTTACTCACGGTATGTGTCGGGATACTTCCACAGTTTGAAACGGAACGAAGGAAGATTTACTTTTAAAAACGCTCGCTGCGTCCTCCCGGACCAGCTGGACCGGATCAGCTGACGACGACGGGACTGTACCCGTTGAACCTCCACCACGCAACAAACAATTTGCGCTCCGTGTTAAAAACGTGGTTCAAACAGACCCGGAATACAAAGCACCGCACCACACACGACGAATGTTTCAGCTCTTTTTCGCATCGCCGGGTTGCACCAAACAGAACGAGATCGCCGAAGTCAACGCCGCGCTGTCGTGAACCTTGGCTTGTGGTTGCGAACTCGTGGACCCTGTGACTCCCTTCGCTTTGAAAGCACACACGCCGATTACGAATACTACTTTCCGTCTTCCAGGAACATCACAGGGGCACTTCTCCGGTCACGTCTTCAACTCTCCGAAACTCTATGCGAAGCTCCTCGCGTCCCGTCAAACCAAAACAGTAGCGGCGCCATGCGTACTTGCCAGATTTTCTCCGGTCAAACAAAAACAACGAAAGCCAACCGGCGCTTGCTTCCAGTGTGCATCGGCGTTGCGCTTGCGCCGTGGCCAGATCGCTTGCAGTTGAAGGTTAAAGCAAAAACGAAACCAACTGCAATGTCACGTGTTCACATCGAGGACACGCTTTTTATATCCATTTTAACTGTTTGGAACGAATAATTAGACCCATAACTTTATTTGTGGTGTCTAAGAAACTGTTATCAGGACCCCTAAACTAAATACAAACATGGGCGACATGAGGGAACCCGCATTGCCATCGACCAGAAGATGGGGGCGAGCACGATAAGCGTCGTAAGCGTGGGTTTCGCAAACGTCCTGCGACATGGCGCAATTGCTTTTGGTGCATATCTGTCTCCGAGACATGTTTCTTTCCGCGGCATTTGTCTCGACGGTCCTTTCCAAGTGTTTCCCCAAGCATTCCGGTGCTTCAATAGCCGGCAATGCCGAGGTCGTCGCCGGGGGCGATGCGTGTTATCGAGGTCGGCTACATGGTCATGCGTGTACGACCGAACCAAAACACGTTTTTTACCACCTCGCATGATTTCTGAACGAATTATCCGTTACTCATCGTGTAAATTGATGGTAATTTGTGTAAATAGCGTGTTTTTCACCCCAAATATTCGCCAAATACACGGGACTTGCTAACAGTGTAGGAAGGTTCGCTTTTGTTCTTCGTTCAATATAACAATGGTACAACACCACCTGAGTGGGTTCAAACCTCAGACCGCAGACAAACGAAACCATCCACTTACAAACAATGCTTGTTCCGGGTCGACATCTCACATGGCTATATAAAGGACTGCTATTTCGCCACCTCCCTCTGTCAGAACCCTGAGCTTCGTCTTGTCCAAATCACTGACACGCAAATACGGTGAGTGTTGTTTTTATCGGTCGATTATTAATATGTATCTACTGCGACACCAAAGTACTGTAATTGCATCTAAAATATTGTAGTTATTATGCCTATGTACTTTGAGCTGTATACAAATAATCACTGTTAGCTATTTATGCAGAGAAGTAAGGTCTTATAATTTGAAAATTTCAAGACACATGAGAGGCTCAAGTTTCTCAAGTGTAATTCGAAGTTTCAAGTGCCCCTCGTCTGATTGTATGTGTCGCGTTTTGATTACAGGCTGCAGCGTACTCGCGGAGCCAGCGAGATGAATCCTGGGCACCTGGGTGTCCCAACGTTAGTGCCTTCTCACAAGCGCTCAAGCAAGCCGGTCATACAGTAGAAAAGCCGTCGCTGGCCCAACGGGGTTCTTGAATTTTCGTCCAAGAGTACCAACCTAAAAAATCCTAGCATCGAGTACTATCGAAGCATCAAATGCTTTCATCTCAGCAAGCACACGGTGGCCGGGGAAAAATGTCCAGTAGCGCACCTCACGCTTAACAGCGGAGTTATGGTGTCCGATCCTGATAATCCCATGACTCCGCACAGCTGCAGCCCAGAGAAGGACTCCGATGCGACGGCAGTGCTTGCGAAGCGATTCATGTACGAAGTCTGTACGGATGTACGTACCAGCCGCAAGAGGCCCCGTGAGGCATTCGACGAGGCTGTGACGTCCATCCAGGAAAGGTTTCGTGAGTACGGAGATGAAGTCCAAGATGGCATACAAGCCAACATGAACAGTGCATATGGATTTACGTCCAAGAGGAGCCCTCTCACGCAATCGCCATCACAACAGACTAAAGGGCAACGCATTGAACGCTATTCTCGCGGAGCTTCGCGTCACCAACGACTTCCAAGAGTTCTTGCAACTGGAAGTGAAGACGGAAAGGAGACGGCTCCTGCTTTTTTATGCTGAAAAAGACCTGGAAGTGATTCTCAATGTTGAATTCATTCTTGCGGACGGCAATTTTAAATATAACCCCAGTGAATTTCACAGCCCATGGCAATTCTACACTGCACATGCCATTGTTAAACGGGAAGCGCATCCCATCGTTTATGCTCTGATGCAGTCATGCGACGTTCAGGCCTACGAGGTTGTTTTCGGCACCTTAAAGACTTCACTTGAGACCAAGTTCGAGGGAGTCGGTGGCCTCTCAACCTCCACCACGTGGCACTTCGACTACGAGTCCGCAGCTATCCAGGCTGTGATGAACGTCTTCAAGACCACCGCGCGATTTCCGAAGGTAAGAAAATTTCTGAAGTATTGTTTTTGAGTAAGTGAACAACTTAAGTATGGCGTTTTTATCTATAAAAGATAAATGAAGCCAAAGGTGGCAGAGTACTATATCTAGGATTCAGTTACCCGTTTGTTGCAACTGTGACCACACATGTGTGGGCTCCAATAGATGTTTTCGCTCGTTTTACTCCCAGGTACGTGGCTGCGCATTTCACTTTGCGAAAGCCATTAACACCAAGCGCGACGAACTGGGGCTCAGGGCTCTTTGCCGTGACGACCCTGAGGTGAACAAAAGGTTCGTCAGAATTCGTCACCTGCCTTTCGTTCCGGACCACTGCCACGTGCTGTTTTCAAGTGACCTTCTTGCAGCGAAACCAAATCTACCCCAGCTGAATGCCGCTCGCCTGGACCAGTTCATCCGGTACTTCAGGAACTTCTGGCTATCCCATAGCATTATCAGAGAGATTTGGGGACAGTTTGGAAATCGGGGTCCAAGGACGACGAACGTAGTTGAGGGGTGGCACAACGGCCTGCATAGTCGCCTTTCAAGTCGCCATCCCGACCTGACTGAATTTATTCAGTTCCTTCAGGTTGCGCAGCATGCCGCACAGAATCGAATTCAAGCTCTTCTGCTTGATCCGCTCGCTGTGGCAAGACCTACATCAAGCTTCGTCTCGGCAAGAAACGAGAGGCTCCACGCAGAAATGGATGCCTTTGCCTCATTCACCAGCGGCAATGCTGCCACCTACCAGGACGTCTGCAATTACGTGGACAGGATCGCGAGCACTGGTGTGCTCCCAGCGGCTACTTAACAGTTTTTCAGCAGTCATTGAGTGACACATGATGTGAATAAATGTGTCATGGTTTCCGCTGATCAAGTTGTCCACTTTCAAAGACGTCGAGAAAGGTGCCAAAAGCGAAAACCTTCTCCGTAACGTTTTTGTCTAAACAGTTGCTCTGGTGTGCACCAATCACTGATTGTTGTATGTGATTACATTTTATCCTTGACGTTTAATTACTGCCATAGCCTTTTCTTGCTTTTGCCAATAAATCTATTAGTAAAGCAATAACGTACTTAAAACATGCTTCTAAAATAAATATTGGGATTCTTTTGCAGTTAAGGCTACGCGAAGTTCTGCGTTCTTTTTTTCTTCATATTTTTCAGCAGTTTTAGATGTATCGCAAAATTAGCGAAAGTATCCGAAAGATGCAAAAACAAAATAATATATAAATTTATTTGGTCCTGCTGACACGTTACGACGGTGGTAGACTTTTAAATGGCGGGGGAGTAACGTTTAATTGAAAGCGCAACAACTGCGGTACTGTACATCAGAACAACAACGCTCCTAGGATATTTTGGTTCCAAGTACCCCAGATCGAATCTTATTTCCCGCCCTGTCGCGCGACATTAAAGGTTCTCGCCTCCTCTCCTTCTGGGGCGGCCAGTCAATCATTTTGAAATCTATCGGAGTCACGGGATGTCCACCGTCCAATTGTCGACTGGGGGCCGCCCAATACGCTCACTAGTACGGCGATTATATTTGCAACGGACACGGGGTGACACGCCCGTAACTTCGGCAGCACAAACGGCCGGAGCCTACTCGGCGCCACGCCAAGCCCATTCACGAAAATCATTTCGCAACTTCGTAGTTTCGCTTTGCCGCTCTGTATTCCGTTTGCCCCAAACTTGAGACTGCGGTGGAAGCCACGTCCTGTCTCTAAGTCGCCACGTCATCACGCTCCCACTCATACCAACGCAGGGGGCCGGGTCAGGTAATAAGAGGGAGGCGGCTGATCGGTCCGGCGGGCACGCAGCTCCCACTGCAATCTGAGCCGCCGTCTCAACCAAGCACCCAGCCAAGGTGCCTCTGCAAAGGCCGAAAATGGTTGGTAGAGGAGGCACAGGGGAATAGAAAGTTTTCGTAGACCGCGTTTCCCCTTCCGCTAAGCCCACCGCAACGAAGAAGCCGCTACTGCGCCTGCGTGCCGACGGCCTTGACTGTGGCGATCCGGTTATCGTAGCGGGTTGCGGAGAGCATTGCGGGACGGCGAAAACGATCTACGAAGACTCCCTAATAACGGCCACGCGAGTTCCTCCGACAACCCCAAAAAGCAGACCCCGGCGGGAGCAAGCTATGTACCCCCCGAGACGCCCGTAAGCCGGCCAAGGCTACACACATCCCTCTCCAAAACGAACAATGGCCAGCGGTTCCTTCAAATAGGACGGCCCACATAAGAATAAACAAGCTAAAAACAAGCACAAATATGTATAAACCGTTAGGCAATTAAAAATTGTGTCGATCTTAACAGCCAAGTTTAAGCAACCTGCATCCGCCTGAGCAACCAGGATTCTTTTTAAAAATTTGAAGATCTACCAGCTCGAAATACGGAAACAATGCGAAACGCGTTGCTCAAATCAGGTATCTACTTGGTTACGTGGCGGGCGAGACTGATATCCATCGAAAGTAATGTCCAACTGAGACGGAATGTCCAACGAGTCTGAATATCCAACGAGACGGAAGATCCAACCAGGCCGGAATGTCCACCGTGACTGAACATCCATCGAGACGGAATATCCATTTGACATTGAATGTCCAACGAGTCTGAATGTCCAACGAGACGAAAGATCCAACCAGGCCTGAATGTCCAACGTGTCTGAATATCCAATGAGCCTGATTATCCACTAATGGATCTTTCGTCTCGTTGGATCTTTTGACTCGTTGTATATTCAGGCTCTTAATCAGAGAAAGGGTAGCTCTCGTCTTATCGGGACTCTTTTTTATGGGTTTCCACGTCGCGATTGTCTTTCAAACTCAACTGTCATTTATTTCTCGCTCGTGGCTTCCAAGTACTACGCGCGACTAGTGAGATAGGGTATAGTCATGCCTGATTAATATGATGCATATCTCTAACGCACAATAGTTTTGCGAAATCAAAGTTTCGCTGAAATGGATAACTCTCACGTACAATTCGACTCAAAACACCGTTGACGTATTGGACTCGCGAGAGATGCCCCCAACACGGCTGAGTATAGCGGTGTTCCAGATCTAACATCTAAATTTTGTTGCCTTACCTGTTACTATTTCGCGCGCATTTTGAGCCATATCAAAATGAAAGCGCATGATGAACTGAAAGTGACATTCGTTTTCCGCTCGATGGAAATTTCACGCCAGTTCTCTGTCTTTGCTGGCACCTTGAGCGTTTCCCAGCGACGCGGAGAGTTCAAAAAAAAAAAAAAAAAAACGTACGATGGCATTTTTTGCACACTCATTACTTCTATAACACCGAGCCACCTCGTATCCTTTTGTTTTTCTTTCATGCTACAAATTTCTTTCTGCGCATTACGGCTGTTACGACGCTAAGTCTGTCTGCACCTTCGAATTTGAATTTAGGCTCAGATCAGGGACGGACCACTTTAAATCAGGAAAATATAATTAACACTGTAGCAAAGTAAATCTATCATATCGATCGGAAATGCGATTTGACACAATCCATCTGAACAGATATTGTGCACAGCGAAGGCAATGGCGAGTCAGCGTGCAAAACGCCGCCACACTACGCTACCATATTATCTAAGCGATTTTTGCATAGCACCGAGCACAGAGAAGAGAAAACAGTTATTCATTCAGATAAACTAAGCAAATTTATTTAAAGCCCAGACACTCTGTACGTTCAATCTAGCTAAGGTTATCAATAGACTCGACCATGTCATTTGTCGAAACAGACAGAAGACGTTGGCAAAAATTATTAGACTGAATAAGTGAATCAAACGCACGTATTTTACCAACCGACGGTCGCCCGCCTTCAATGCCATTTCCAATTGTCATTGCGCACCTTGGACGCGCTGTGGGGAGCAAAACATATTTACATCGCCGCCCGAGGTCTTCATTGAACGTGTAGTGCTGACCAAAATAAAATGCTAACCTGACTCTCAAGCGCTCGCCGCAAAGGACGATTTCGAAGGGGCGGTCACTTGAGATAAAAAAAAGAAAAAAAGAACAAGCTAAAGAAACGAGCGTCGTAAAAAAGGGGACCGACATTTTTATTCCTACCTCCGAACAGAAACGAGCGCCACCCACTGCATCACACAGCGCTCGGCCACCACGCGTACACTCTAAGAAAAAATGGAGGAAAAAAGTAGCAACGGCGCGTCTTCCTCCCTTCTACCGACGCGCCCCCAAGCGGACACGAGAAAAGGGGAGGAACGAAACGTTTTTCTCCTTCTCCAGGCAGACGGGAGAAAGCTTTCGCCCTCCCGACTCATCGCCTTTCGGTTTCGTTTTTAGAGCAGGTCGCGCATGTTGTTTAATAAATAGCTGTTGAGGTGATTGAGCTTCAGCGGCAGCGAAGGCCGCCTGTAATTCCGTCTTCCAGTCTAAACGTGCAGAACATTTCGGTTGCGTTGTCGTTTTTATCACTAATTTTATCAAACGAGCAAACGAAGCCGCTAGAAATAGCGAAGTTCCGGAGCAGTGCCAGCAGCGCCACGTACAACTGGGCGATGGCCGCCTCCGGATTGCGGGACTCGCGCGGTACGGAACTACAGCACTGCAGTCACTACAGTAGCGAAACCACGCGGAACTGTGTCGACGTTTTCGACGTTATGGAAACCGCAGGAACTGCGTTCAAGACAGGCAGGTTTTACTGCCGGCTGCCTGGGTGCCTTCCCCCCTGAGTTCGGTTCTGTTTTCCGATGCCGAGCAACCGGCGTTCAACGTGGTTCTGTGTTTGTGCGTGTCAGCAACATAGCTGCAACATCGTAATGGCAGTGTTGTGGGTTGTGAACAGAAGACTGGAATTATCGCCGATGTGACCGTGTTGTTCCCGTATCAGTGGTGTAACAAGAAGATGAGATCGTAAACTCTTAAGCATTGATGCCGCTGGTCGGGCCGTGATCGGAGGGGGCGGGGTGTCGCAGGTTGACATTCTGCTTTACATTAAGAAGTTTAATAACACTTCCGGGATTACGTGCAATCGATCGACGTGTGGATAGTCATGTTGGAACGCTGGTCTGAACAATAGAAGCTCCTATCGTACAGTGGCCAATGCGACTGTCGGAATTGTCTCGTCCCCGAGAGCGATTGCGCTGTGGGGCAAGGACTGAACAGTACGAAATCGTGACGGAAAGTACGTATATTTACAGTATGAAATTTCGGCATTAAAAAACAATAGTAGGTAAAATCGAAAAAAAAAAAAAAAAGCTACCCTTTGCTGTTTAAATATACTACGGTTCCTGGAGAAACTGCCCTCCGTGGCGCGCTGGGATGAGCGCTAGAAGTTTTCGGGCTCGCCACGGCGTAGCTCCGTACACTTAACACCTGCCGCCAGTCGCGGCTTTGACTGCATTCAAGTTGATCGAAAAGCGATTTCTTAGCCCGTGAAGCATCACTTTCAGCTGAGTGAATATTCGCCCTACAGAGATTAATTCAAGACGGCAATTGCAGCTTTGTGCGAACAGCACAAATAGAAAAACCAATAGAAATACAGGCTACGACGTGCCGTGTGGGGAAACAAACGCATGGCTTCGAACCGCATTGGAGCGGCTTGATTTATTAGCTTTCAAATAATTACGGCACGACCGAGAGTTTACTTTTTAATAAGAGATTCATCCCCTGAGCCATTCAAAATACTCTCAGAAGTATGACATTGCTGGGAAAAAATCAACAGGCTGGGTATATTTTTTATTGCTTAACGAGTCACCGAAAAGTTCCGTACGTTCAAAACGACCAGTATAAAAGACGGGAATGCAGAGCACGGGCGTAGTGTTCGGGTTAGTGTGGGCTGTCCACTTCCGGGCGCCGAGGCGAACGGA